CATTGCCTGGGATTTACTTAGTTTTGTCTGTTTGCCTGTTGAACCCTCTTACTTTCAGAAATAGAACTTAGGGAAAGAAACAAGTTTCATCGCTCCCCTTCTCTAGAATTTAAATTTTCTGTTTAATACATAGATTTTCTGTTCTGCAGACTAGTTTGGAAAAACAAAAGTTCCATGAGCCATTCATGTGGCCATTAAAAAAAAAATAATGTGCATTTGGCCTAGCTTTTTTTTTAGCCATATCTAAAGATTTTCATTTTGTACTTTATGGGGTCCAGATCAAAGAAACGGTATGCTTTTAAGGGGGAAAAATACTGAATTTAAAATTTTATTTTTAAATAGTCTCTGTATCACTACCACTTTCTGGATTATCTTCATCATGAGAATTCAGGAAGGGCCAAGGAAAGGGATGTAAGGGCAGAAAACAGATCAGAGGTTGCCAGTGGCTGAGGGTGGAGGGGTGGAGATTGACTACAGCAGGGCATGAGGGGGCTTTTTGGAGTGATGAAAATGCCTTACGTTTAACTATGTTGGTGGTGGTTGACAACTATGTTTGTCAAAAGCATCAAAATGGTCTTTAAAAGGGTGAATTTTATTCTGTGTAAAGTATATCTCAATAAACCTGACTTTAAAAATGAGTAAGTGAACAAAATTATCCAGTGGCTGGGGAGGGAGGATCACTGGCACCTCTCAAGTATCTAGAAGGCTCGAAGCCCTTACATGTTTAATGAGAAACAGATTTTTGTCCATGTCATTTGGAATGAGAGAGCTTTGGACGTGCATGAACACATTACTGCCATTTTCAGTTGTAAACATTTCCTGGCCAGTGTTAGATGCTCCTTTTATGGAGGTGTTTTAAAATTGATACTTATATTTCTTTCCATTTAAACCTTCTAAATGTTAAGCCTAGCACAAATTAATATATATTTTCAGTAAAGTTGAAAAACTTGTGAAATTCCAAGTTACTTTTAGAAATGTTTACTGATTAAAAGATGCAAATCTTCTATATATTCTCTGAATCACTTTGTCACTAAAGTACTTTAGTTTATAGTAAAATGTGGACCCAGATACCTACTGAAAATGCACCTCCTATATCCATCTGATCTGAGTCAAACAGACTCAGAAAACTGCAGTTTTTTGGTTATCATTATTAATTTTAATAGGCACATATGTTTAATATGCAAATCTTCCATGTATTCTCTTAGTCTCTTTACTCTTGTCATGAATGTAATGCCCCTAAAATGTCACCAGTAGTTCTATTTTAGAAACATTTCATTAGCTACTGCCTAGTTGCTATTTGTGATACTCATCAGAATGTTTCATGTGTTTATAATAATTGGGTATCTCTTTTCTGAATGAGCCATCTTTGATTAATTATCTGCAGAAATGTTTGATGAAAATAAAACTTTCATTTGAATTCATCAGGAAAATCAAATCAATTTATAATTTATGCATTTTAGGATTAAATGAGGAATATGACAGTTTTAGAGAGAGAGACATGATGTGGGCCTAAAACATTAATAAGCAGCTAAGGACCAATTTTTAGATTTCTCCTCTCAGCTGTGAGAATGACACACAGCATGCTCTCAGGCAAGTTATTTATTAAATGAAGTTGCTCATGAAGAACCTAAATTGTATTTCTCAAAATGGAGATTACAAATGCCAAGAAGAAAGTAAGGGGAGCAAAACTAACAATTCTCATGCACTTTGAGAATAAGTGCTGTAAGAATGCTGCCTTGCACTGTGTACATTGAACCATTTGTATCGGATGCCAGTGTTATTCATCATGTCCTGACGCTTTTGCACAGAGTCCCTTTGAAATATTCTTTCCCTGGTCTTACATTAGAAATAGGCCTGAGAAATCATAGATGAAAAAGTGCAGGCCTATGAGGGCTTTGATTATTACAGCTTACTCTGTAGCCTTGAATAATAAAATCTAGGCAAGCACAACCCCTCAAATTTGGGGAATTCCGATGATTTACAAAAAGATGCAAATAGCTAGCAAATTCATGTGAAATAAAATTTGGACACCTTTCAAGGGATGAGTCTGTCCGTTGATGGGTTAGTATAATATAGTAAATGGTACAACAGATTGACTTGTTAATACAGTCAAGACTAACGTTAATCTTTCTTACGCCTTTTTGTGTTGTAGATAAAAGCCCTCATGGCTTTGGTTGCTGTTACCCTTTTATTAGTGATTATCAGTAAGTATTTCCTGGGTTTTTAGTTTTGAGGGCTATCAGGTGTTTTGAAGTTTATTTAAATTTCCTTTGTTATTTTCAGTTGACCCAGTATGTATGACTAATGTCAGGATTGAATAATGACCTCTGACCCTAGTCAGGAGCTTTTACCTAGACTCTAAATAGATCTCTGAAAATGCCCTTAAACTGTATGTACAATTTGATGTGAAAATGCATGTGTACGGTTTTTTATGGTGAGAAGGTATCTTTTATCAGATTCTCAGAGAACCCCTGTCCTACTCTCCACCCCATCCCCCCTAGTGCAGGGCTGAGTGATTTGTTTGAGGCCAGATATGGCTACTGCTGTGCTCAGGACCATAACACCCATTTTCCATGGTTAACTTCCATGTATGGCAGCTTGCATTTCATGATACTGTGTTTGAAGGAAAATCCAGGCAAATTCTCCTGATGATTTGGATGTGAGCTTCATTTCAGTCATTAAAGGGTAACTCTTTCCCTTCCCTTTTTCCTTATTATTTTTAAAGTCAGATGATTAAAAAAAAATTTTATTGTCACTGATTTTATAATATTGTTAGTTTTAGGTTTACAGCAAAGTGATTCAGTTATATATACATACTTTTTGAGATTATTTTCCATTTTTAGGTTATTATAAGTTATTAAATATAGTTCCTTGTGCTATATACAGTAAATCCTTGTTGCTTATCTATTTTATGTACAGTAGTTTGTATCGTTAATCTAATTTATCCCCCACCGGCTTCCTTTTCCCCTTCGGTAACCATAAGTTTGTTTTCTATGTCTGTGAGTCCATTTCTGCAGTTTTGTAGGTAGATTCATTTGTATTACTTTTTAGATTCCACATGCAAGTGATACCATATTTGTCTTTCTCTGGTCAAAGCATTTTTAGTATCTCCTTTTTTCCAAAGCTTCTTTATATTTATAGGGATTTTTAATAAGATTTGGAAACCCTTTGAAAAATCCCATGTGATAAACATCCTTTTCTGTTTAAGAAGAGTTATTACAAAGAAGTAGTCAACCTCATTATTTGTGGACTCACCTGCTAGCTAACACTGACTTGTTAGCCCAAATTCGGTACTTGAGGTGCTTTCCACATCATCGGCAGGTGTGTTCAGAGAAGTGGAAACTTGGAGTCTCTTGCTGCGTGTGTTCCCAGCTGATGTCTAATGAGGCCATGCTCTGCCTTCTAGTTTCATCTCTCATAAAGTAAACAGGTGGCCTTCAAAGTCTGTTTAGTACATTTCTCATTTTTGTGCATTTTGTTGATAATTTTAGTGTTTAAAATGGCCCCAGGTGTACTGGTACTGAAGTGCTGTCTAGAGTTGCCGACCACAGGAAGGCTGTGATGTACCCTATGGAGGAAATACGTGTGTTAGAAAAACTTCCTTCAGACATGAGTTCAATGTTAATGAATCAACAATGTGTATTAAATAGGTGTCTCCATATAAAAGAAGTACATGTACAACAAGGTTATATGTTGATTGGTTGTCAAAAATATTATAGTCAGAGGCTCGGAGTGGTGACTTTACAGAACTACTCCAAGTACCAAGAATCGACTGTATGGAATGTTGAATAGCATAAAGAAAATAAAATTCAACTGTTACCTTACCGCACAGAGGTAGCTACTGTTACTGTAACTACTATGTATACTTCAAGTCTTTTCCTATTAGTATATAAACATGTTAGATCATATAGATTCTTTATAATAAATACATTGTAAATATTTCCTTGTGTTAAATATTTTAAAAATATTTCAGCCACCTTATGCTATGGTTATACCATAATCTATTTGATCAAAATGGCATTAGGTTGTTTTATGATATCTTTGCTTCTCCACTCTCATTTATTATTTGTCATTTCAGATAAAAGTTCAGTCCTCATTACCTATTTCCAAAACGGACACAGCTACTTTAGGAATATTTTTTCTAACATAGCATGTGAATCTGATTTTGATATGTTTCTTTTTCATTTTTTTCTTTTGCAGTTCTTTTAGTTGTGAAATACCGTACTTGATTTGGTGACAGATCTTCAGTAAACAAAATCTGGGACAATAATAAAAGATTGCTGCATAATTTAAATGAAACCCATGTATATAACTTTCAGAGCTTCTTTTTCAAGAAATTAAGAGGCAAGTATCACTTCAAATTGGAGCATTGAGAATGTCCAGTTATCTTCTTCCCTTCTAACAAGATGTGCTTTTAATAATTATGTTTAAGACAAAGATAATCAGCCTTGATTCTGCCATATTCCAAGGGTCTAATTTGAAACTAGATACTTGCCAGTTCATTATCTGTGTATATAGTTAAACACTGATAACGATATTCCATACTGTTATTTTAATGGCATAAGGACTTGCATTTATTGCATCCAGGTGGGAGTCAGGCTGGTGGTCAGGAAGCCTCTGTAGAGTACCACGTCATTATGCTGAAAGACATACAGAACCATCCTGTCAACATTTGCAAGATTCTGCTCCTATTACAATTGCTTTGCAAGCAATTTCCACACGTTTATGGGTGTAACAAAAGCTCAATGTTGTAAACGTCGCTGCCTTCTTCTATAACTAAAAACATTCCAGTAAACCTATTTTTGACTGTATAAGGGAATGTGTGGTAATTTTTTGGCATTTGGGTTATGAAAATGGGAAATTTAAGCAGTGCGAAAAGCGTAGCGTGGCGCCATAAAACTGGAGATAGTAAAATGATTGGAGAGCATCACTGGAGTATTTGAAAATGGCCAACATGAAGCTACAAATTACAGCCCAGTCTGTTTTCAGTTAGCCTCCAGTAAGGAGGGGTTGGTCCTACTGTGAAATCCATAGGTAGCTTGTTTCCTTACTTTTTATTAATAGCTTTCCTATTTACTTTTAAGTAGCCTTTTTACCAGAAATGATAAAAGTAGCAAAATCCTCTCCTTAGAGGTTGCTATTTTTGCCTTGCCTGGTTATCTCCTGGGAGATGGATGTTACACACTCAGGTGTCAAGTTAGCCAACAGTAATGACTCCAAAGTCAGGAGCCTGGGTGCTGAGGTCACCATTCATCTCAGTCTGTTTTAAAACAGTGACAAGTGCAGTTACCTTTAAAATGTGCCAAATTCCTTGGATTGTTTAAACAAGTGAAAATACGTAGTCTAATGTGTGTGAGGAGGAAGTTTTATAATAAAACTGGAGGTTCTGCAGAAACTTGGGTACATGGACATCTTCACAATGTATATATAACTGGAAATTTGAAGTACGGTGAATAGAAAATACCAGTATTTAAATAGGAAAAATGGATGATTCCTTTAGGGTTTATTTCTTTGGTCATTTTATTTCAAAATGTATGAAACATAGAATTCTTTTTGTTTGTTTTTTAGTTCAACAGGATTAGTACTAAGAAGCAAAAATGTTCTGTTTAGAATGGAAAGAAATTTGAAGGGAGAAAGCAGATTAAGAGGTACTCAAGATACCTGCAAGCTGTGAAGATCTGAATATAATTGCAAAATATTATAGTCCGCTAAGAACATTTAAAAAGAGATCAAGGTCTTACGTACTGCAGGGTGTTCTCTGTGCTCTCTCCACCCTTTGTAAATGTTAATTAATGTAAATAACATAATAAATACCAAGTCCTTTGATAGAAGAGGATACCCAGGGGAATGAACATTTTTAGAATTTCAGTAGCTAATGTATAGTCGAGGAATAGGAATGTTCTACCGAGAAGACACAATCAGCCCTAAGACATATACATGTGTCCTTTACTTGGGATTGGAACTAGACTCACCAGTAGTTAATCTTCCATTTGTTGGTGTAGAAATCTCACTTCTCCATATCGTCTATCAGTGAGGATGATTATTTCTCAAAAAGAATCCACATTTCCAATGTTTCTTTAATGAAGTATGCTGCTTTTAAAGAAATATAAAAAAGAAAATAACATTTTAAAAAATTTTAACTGTGAAAAAATAAAGGAAATATTTATATGACAATATCATATATGCAGTTCTCTTTGTATTTAAATATATTGCTGCTGAGAATACTGGTGGTGGACGTGTCACTATTAGAGCTTTGTGCTAGTGGTGGCTTGGTTCACAGTTTATCAGTTCTTTCTTGAGGTTCATTAATCCTGAGACCCTTAAACTGGCTGTCATGTTTATGACTTTATTATGGTAACCTTGGAGACATAAGCCTTCAAAAACGAAGAAAAATATGTTCAAATTGATGCCAGGACTACCTTCCCTCCCTCCCTTAATCATTCGTTTTCTCCTTCAGCTGAGATCACCTTGCACTTGAAAAATGAAGTTTTCCCACCACCAAAACTCTCATTATTTAACAACAATGAAGATCAACAGAAAAATTCAAGTAGCTTTTTAAATACTGAGCTGTTACCCAGTGAGATCAGGTCACTGTTTTTATAATGCCTGGAACATACTCTTGTGATTTATGTCCAATAACTGAAACCTACTACCCTGCCACAATTCCGTGATTATAATACTGATTAATTCGTTCCTCCAGCTGATTACAACCCAGTAATGCCTGTGGTCTTTTGGCTTCTCTATCCTGATAAAGTTCACTGGAAATGGCCCTCAGATTTTATAAACTTGGGGGTTTCTTATTCAAGAAAAGTTCAATATTGAAAATGGAACATCATCTAAAGTGGAGGAAGGGTAGTCAGTACACATCACACACAGAGATACCTGGTGTTAGCTCTCCGGGAGGTTGCTTGTTAGCTGTGCAGTCACCCTCTGCCTTAGAAAATTCTAACTTCAGCATTCTTTATAGCAAAAATTGGCATCTTTCAATTGTGCAGCATGTGGGTATCCTGAAAATGGTTATACACGTACACAAACTGAGAAGAAAAAAATAGAAATTTCTCGTTTTCCATTCACTCTTCAACTTGCCTGGTGGCCTGTCAGCGCTGTTGTCCACACCGACTGTATGTATTGTGATTAGACAATATGCACAAATTTGTGTTTTCATGTTGAGAGTGAATGCCATTAGAAGATATCTTTAACTATATTGAGTCAATATTCCTAAGTCAAGGGTAACTTCAGTTTTTTTAGTCTAATTTTGTGTTTTCATGTGGAAATGTGATTGGAATCCATTTTATTTTTCTGTGAGTGGGGAGTAAGAGCACGAGTCGATCCAGAAGCATTTCCATGTCTGTGTTAGACTGCAGTGTAGGGCTTGTGTTTGCGTAGGAAATGGCCACGAAACAGTGGACAGACACTGAGTCAGAAGGAGCTGAGAGGCGCCCTACTTCTCAGTCCATGCACTGCTTTTTTCAGTGCTGTGCACAAATGGAACCACTCCTTAGACTGACGTAGGGCTCGGGCCTCCTGTCCAAGTTTGATGTTGGTCTTACTCTTTCTGGAAAGCAAGTGGAATAAGGGAGAAGGGGACACAACTGTTCTGTTCTGGCTCCTGTTTTATTTAAGAAGCCGCTTGGAACAAGTCAGTAGGAATTGAAGGAAGAGCATGATGCCCCAATGAAGGGGGATGAATGTAAGCATGTGATAGCACAGAACACATGCTATCTGTGTCCCCACAGCAGCCAGCACAATGCTGTGTACCTGCCAGTTGCGTAGACGAACGTGCCTAGGAAGTCACACAGACACTCATACGTAAGTGCGCGTTGGCATCCACAGTCCTGCAGAGATGACGTGATGGACGTGGTAGTGGGTCTTTTCACCTTTACCAGGAAATAGTAGTGCTCTTTTATAATAATTGGGTCTAGAAAAATGCTGATTTTACAGTATTTCATGAGGTTCTTGAAATCAGTTCATCTATTAAACATTTTAAGGCTACAAAGTAAATTGCATAAATGAGAGATTTTAGTCAGTAAAATGCCAGAAATCAAACTATAAGAAAGGTCAAGCACTTGATTTTATGCCTGGGGTATGTCTCGTTTTAAATTCCACACTCCTTTATTTAACCATCTCGATAAGTGCCTTGGATGACCTAAGATGTATGGTGGGAGATGAGCAGTGTAAATGACACGCACCCTGTCCTCTAGCTTCTCAGGTCTTCACAGCCACTTTTACCGATGTTGCCAAGTTTTGTCCTCGGTGTTCATACCAGATATGTATCTGTAGCCACTCCATATGCAACACTAAAATAAACTATTTCATAGAAAACAGTTAAGCACTTTGGCTTAGTCAGTATGTGTTAACTGTTGCCTTAACTTTAAAACTTAGCTTATTTGAAGTAACATCTGGCTAATCACCTTGGTTTAATCCATCTCAGTTTTCCAGTAAAGTACAGTGAGGAAAAATAAGAGAAATAAAGATGTTCTATCACGAAAAGCCATACCCAATGCCCAACCTACTGACAGACTCTGCAAGGGATTTTGGTGTAAAATCAGAGTCTCAGTTTCTCTTACAGAGAAAACAGTTGGTGGGCCACTCATGCTTTACCTCGATGGTGTCTACTTCAAAGAGGGAAAGGTGGACACTTCTCTCTCACACGTGCAGGTTCCAGTCAGAACACCTGACACTGGCCCCTCAGCTGCACGTGCTGCTTTTAGAGGCAACCAGAGAGCTGTTCATTCTCTTCAGCCTCTCTCCACCCACACACTAAATTATGTCTAATACTCAAAAAAACTGTGGGAGGAGGATTACACGGGGGGGGCACGCTGTACCCTGAGATACACAGTCCCCTCAAGTAGAGTGCTGCAGGCAGGAATGGAGATGGGAAGGACCCAGGGACGCACATTCTGAGACTGATGGTAGTTAGTGTGATCTAACCAGTCCATGTGCGAGAGTACCAGGCAGGAAGGTCAGACCCTCCCTGAATCCAACAGTCATGCTTTATGAGTGACTATCAAATGCTAGAAACTTCCATCAAGCAGTGAAACACACTCTGCTTTTCAGCTGCAGGTGTAAGAGAGTTGTGGCTAGTAGCCAGATGAATAACTGAACAGGACCAAGGGCAGTGCACTTACTCTGTGTATTGAGTGAAATGACTGGATTTCATCTGAGGATGTCCAGGAAGATGCACATCGGGCGTACAAGGATGCTGGAACAAGGGAAAGGCAGCATCCTCCTGGGTCATCCCCAGCAACATACAAACACGCTGTTGTTTCCTTCCGCTTTAAAAACCCCAGCCTCTTCCCACTTCCCCTGCCAGGCTCTACCTCGTATCTTTGCTCCTGTTTACAGCAATAGTCCTTGAAAAATGTATCTATGCTCACTATTTCTAGTTCTTTTTTACTCGTTCTCTTAAATACTTCACTTGAACTTTTGCCTCCATACTCCAAACATGTCAAGATCACAGTGACCTCTGTGTTGCTAAATCCAGGGGTTCAGTCTCAGCCCTCATCTCCACACATCAGCTGCAATTGGTGCCATTGACTGGTCTTTTCCCCTTAATACACCCTTCCCTGGCTTGGTTTCTTCTTACCTCACTGGTTGCACCTCTTCTCCCCGACCCTTAACTTTGGACTGCTCCAGGGTTCAGCTCTTAGTCTGAATCACACATCTCCACACGCATCCCCCTTGGTAACCTTATCTAACTGTAGAATTTGAAATGGCATTTATGTGCTGACAGATTCCAAGTTTATGTCTCCCACTTGACTTCTGAATATGGATTTATATCCAGTATTTTGAAGGAGCTAGGTCAAGGTGGCAGAGCAGGAAAACCCTGAGCTCACCTTCTCTCATGGGCACACCAAAATTATAACTATTTACAGAGTAATTATACATGGGAAAGACCAGAATCTAGCACAAAAATCATCCACAGCTAAAGATACAAAGAAAGAACCACAATGAGATGGGTAGGAGGGGTAGGGTCATAGTATAGTTAAGATCTACACCCCCAGGTGGGTGACCAACATATGAGAGGAGAATTTAAATTGCAGAGCAAGGAGCAATTGTATCTGAGCCCCATATTTGACTCCCCAGCCCAAGGGTCCTGCACCAGGAAGATGAGCCCACAGATGTTTGGCTTTGAAGACCAGCAAGGCTTCCTTTTGGGAGAAACAGAGGGCCATGGGAAATAGAGGTTTCACTATTAAAGAGTAAACACAAAATTTCACATATTCTGGGCAGAAGTAATTTGAAAGGAGTCTGGGTCAGCCCCACCTGCTTGGAGAGCCTCTCAAAGAGGCAGGAGGAACTGGAGCTCACCCAGGGACACAGACGCTGGCAGTAGCCATTCTGGGGAGCTTGTTCTACCATGTGAACACTGGTGTTGTCAAGTCCTGTTTTGGAATCCTCCCTCTAGCTTATTAGCACTGGGACATGGCCCTGCCCACCAGCCTGTTGACACCAGTACTGGGAGACCTTCCACCAACCAAGTAGCCAGGTGGGGACACAGCCCCACCCATCAGCAGGCAGGCTGCCTCAGAACCCCTGAGCCCACAGCCTCCCTAGGACACAGCCCTGTCCCCAAGAGGGCCCAGAACCCAGCCCTGCAAAACAGTCTGTACCACCGAGACTTCCAGGGCCTGGCTCTGCCCTCCAGTGAGCTAGCACCAGCCCCAGGAAAAGCATCACACACCACTGGGCACGCACAAGCCCCTGGACCCCTTGGGCCCTAGTCTCACCCACCAGGAGGTGAATACTAGCCCCAGGGCCACCACAGCCCTGTAGCCTACCATGGCAGTATTGAGCCAATCCACCCAGCCCCAGGACGTCCCTGCAGAGTGTGGTCCCAGCCATCATCAGGCCAACACCAGCTCCAAGTTTCCTTGGGCCCCTCAGCCAGCTGCTCCAGGATCCAGCCCTACTCACCAATGGGCCAGCATCAGTTTTGAGACACCCCAGAATCCATAGCCAACCACTAGCAGGCTGACACTAGAGCCAGGAACCCTTACCCTACAACCACCCACTCCAGAATTTGGCTCTGCCCACCAGTGGACCAGCATTAGCCCCAGGAACCTAACAATAATTACTTTAAATGGAAATGGACTAAATGCTCCAATCAAAAGACACAGACTGGCTGGATGGATAAGAAAT